GCGTCAAGACCATTCTGTCTAGATGCGTTCCATTACTATTTACCCTTTTAGTAATCTATTGCTAATTAATAGCGGTTGATAAATCGGATAGGCCTAGGTACAGTAACATTCAGATGGTTCCCTTTCAATTATGTTTTGATTTAATACACATCGTATCATATCTGTAGAAGACGATATTTTATAGCATGATTCATACCCTCATAAAACCTGACATCATAAATTTCAAAGAAAATTACATCACGTGATAATATAATAAAATATGTACGCAATGAGAGTGTAGTTAAAGCCAATTCTTGTAAATATGATTATAATTCAAAAAAAGTATAGACCTAATCAGGTAGGAAACAATCACTGCTTTCTGGTAAAATAATATGTACTGGTATGATAGCAGCATATATATTATTACTTGACTTTGTTACCTTTCTAAATCGCATAATCACCTTACCCGAATTGGTCATGTGCAACTGATGAAGCTGTCGTGGAGGCAGCAAAAGCTTGCCAAGAGCTTCTTTTTTTATAGTTGCAGGAGGCCTGGGAAGGCCGAGACGCAACTTAACTGGTGCTGGACAGAGCGTATTGATAGATCCCTTGTCAGTGACGAACCCGTACCCTGACTGACTCGGGTGCTGTACAGTATTTCCAATTAATAATAATAATAATAAATCAGTTCTTTTAAAGCGCATTCCACAAATAGCCTCAATGCGCTTTACAGCAAAGAAACACAAGCAGTAAACTTAAAATTTTCTGTTCTCTTGTTTTAAGCGCATAGACCCTCGTTTTTTGCGCGGTATAAATACATAACATTTAACCTTAAAAAACATTGATTGGTTTTTTAATCATAATAATATGCATGATTGATAATGTACGATGTTACGTATATAATTAATACTGATTCCGGCTGAGAGGAACTTGATCTGACTTCCGTGAGGATGTTGAATCAAGTAGTGACCTAACTTGTCATTCCTTCGTTTCATTTGGTCAACTACATTAAATTCATCGTAGGCCTACTAAATAAATTCAACAAATTTTTATAGAAAATACCGTAATTGAAATTTGTGAAATATCACTAGGGCCCAAAAGTCGAAGAAAAAAAGTTATTTTTTTTTAGACACACACATGCGCCAATGTTTGTTAGTAGCGAATTACATCACTGTCCAATTTGTAAGCGACAATCCCTTTAACCATTCAAACATACACACAAGATGCTTTACACAACCTAAGTCACATTATGAGGCTCAGTGAGTGGATTTGTTTGGTAGTGAGAACAAATTCCTGCAATACTGACAGGAATTGAACCCTAGGCAAGTACCTTATCCACCATGCCATTCTACGCCACTCAAACCTAATGCAACTCCACTTATATCCATCAAAAATACGTAGGGCTATCCAAATATTTAACAATTATACAATTAAATAGCCTAAATGACTGTAAAAGGCCACACAAAAGAACTGAAACAGTTATCACACCAAGACAATTCATTAAAAAAAAAATTGTTAATTAAACATGTTTTGAACAGAGATCATATCAATGTGTTTTACAGGATAACCATAAGAGCTAACAGCTCCTGTTGTAGGCCTAACGAACAAGATAATTGATTCAAAGTTTCTCGACGTTTAACCTAATGGTCTTAATCCACGGTCTATTTTTATTGTTGATTTTTCGGATCATTATTATTTTATTATTATTAATTATAGATTTTTTTTTACCCTTTAATATTATCCTTACAATTCATTCGCATCTCATGCTTCCGTTTGTCATGTGAGTTGGTGAAAGGCGATGCCCGTAACTCCTCTATTTCTATCAAAATTTACGGCATAATTATACATGTGCTCTATTTTTTAAATTTATAATTGTCTATATACAACAGTGAAACGGGAAAGTGCCCATAGGATCTTAGACTACTAGCGTGAATATCAAGTACCAGTATATCTATTTATAAGATTCTACAAGCACTGTTTCTTATATATATATATACTGTCTCTTATACACATCTAGATGTGTATAAGAGACAGATTCCAGATAGATGACATGACAGTGCACGAGTCCGATCGGAATTCATCGTATGTGTGGAAACAACTCATTATCTACGATGAGTTACAATATATACGGTACTATTTTTATTTATTGATATATGCACTCTCGTATGTC